TGCCTAGCACAAGGGAGAACCATTCTTGGCTGGCCATTAAGTACTGTAGTTTGCTTTTAACTACACTGATACCAGATATCAGAGTAGCAGCCGTGTTAGTCTGTATTCGCAAAAATAAAAGGAGTACTTGTGGCACCTTAGAGACTAACAAATTTATTTGAACATAAGCTTTCGTGAGCTACATCGGATGTCATCGGATGTAGCTCACGAAAGCTTATGTTCAAATAAATTTGTTAGTCTCTAAGGTGCCACAAGTACTCCTGTTCTTTTTACTGATACCAGAAAACATCCGCAGAGAGGAATTGTCTGAGCAAAAGCTCAATCACTCATACAAGGGTATATGGATCATCTCATTCTATGATCATCAACGATAGATATTCTCTAGGTTCCATCCAGCTGAATTTACTTGGATGGCATCAAGAACAATTTATTTCAGTTAACTGAATAATAATCTTAAAAGTATCTTGTTTTAAGATAGTCTTATGAACTATAAAATTACACATTGCACTTATATACACAGCAATGAAGACAATACTGATTTCTGGGTGACCAACTTGAGACACTCACTGCTGGAGCCACCTAGTAGTCAGGCCGGGGCATCTCCTTTCTGGACAACCATTGCTGACAGCCACTCCAACCCTGCAGTGGCCTGCTCCTTCCACAACTCAGCCCTTCAGCCAGGTTGTTCATTTGTGTCTGTCCATTTAGGGGTATATAAAGAGTCCAGAGAGTAGCCCTCTTAAGCAAGGGGCTCTGGGCTTCCCCTTGGATCAGGGTCTCATAGTCCAGACCCTTCTGACTTCAGGGACTCCTCAACTGGATTCCCCACACCAGGGGGAGACTTTTGGTACCCGCAAGGGATTGGTAGAGGAATCCCAGTCCACCCTCTCCACCAAGTTGTAATTTAGGACCCAGTGGTAAGCAGCTAAGTCCTGCATCAATTAGAAGTAACAGAGGAGGAGGACGACCTTGGTGTATTGGCAAAAAGAAAAGGAGTACTTGTGGCACCTTAGAGACTAACCAATTTATTTGAGCATGAGCTTTCGTGAGCCACAGCTATCTGATGAAGTGAGCTGTGGCTCACGAAAGCTCATGCTCAAATAAATTGGTTAGTCTCTAAGGTGCCACAAGTACTCCTTTTCTTTTTGCCAATACAGACTAACACGGCTGTTCCTCTGAAACTTGGTGTATTGGTTGATCATAGGAGGACTATAAGCTGCCAATGTGATATGGCTGTGAAAAAAGCTAATACAGTCTTGGGATGCATCAGGAGAGGTATTTCCAGTAGGGATAAGGAGGTTTTAGTACCGTTATACAAGGCACTGGTGAGACTTCATCTGGAATACTGTGTGCAGTTCTGGTCTCCCATGTTTAAGAAGGATGAATTCAAACTGGAACAGGTATAGAGAAGGGCTACTAGGATGATCCGAGGAATGGAAAACCTGTCTTATGAAAAGAGACTCAAGGAGCTTGGCTTGTTTAGCCTAACTAAAAGAAGGTTGAGGGGAGATATGATTGCTCTCTATAAATATATCAGAGGGATAAATACCGGAGAGAGAGAGGAATTATTTAAGCTCAGTACCAATGTGGGCACAAGAACAAATGGATATAAACTGGCCACCAGGAAGTTTAGACTTGAAATTAGACGAAGGTTTCTAACCATCAGAGGAGTGAAGTTTTGGAATAGCTTTCCAAGGGAAGCAGTGGGGGCAAAAGATTTATCTGGCTTTAAGATTAAACTCGATAAGTTTATGGAGGAGATGGTGTGATGGGATAACACGGTTTTGAATATTCATGGTAAATATTCATGGTAAATATTCATGGTAAATAGGCCCAATGGACTGTGATGGGATATTAGATGGGGTGGGGTCTGAGTTACCCAGGAAAGAATTTTCTGTAGTATCTGGCTGTTGAATCTTGCCCATATGCTCAGGGTTTAGCTGATTGCCATATTTGGGGTCGGTAAAGGAATTTTCCTCCAGGGCAGATTGGAAGAGGCCCTGGAGGTTTTTCGCCTTCCTCTGTAGCATGGGGCACGGGTCACTTGCTGGAGGATTCTCTGCTCCTTGAAGTCTTTAAACCACGATTTGAGGACTTCAATAGCTCAGACATAGGTGAGAGGTTTTTCGCAGGAGTGGTTGGGTGAAATTCTGTGGCCTGTGTTGTACAGGAGGTCAGACTAGATGATCATAATGGTCCCTTCTGACCTTAGTATCTATGAATCTAAGTGTTTTGACCAAAACTATGACTATAAGAGTTATGATTTTATTTCATTTATCGAGGTTTCTCTATACTTGGATCTGTGCTGTATGCAGCTCGTCTTCTTACTACAGTTTGTTACAGAGTAGCGTATAATCTTCTGTAGTCACTATCTCTCATAATCTTCTTTATCAGTTTGCCCTTCTCTCTTTCTTATAAGTAGAGAATAGCTTTGTCTTTTATTTTTTTCCATTTTTAAAGCTTTAAAAAGTAGTGATTATACTAGCCTGTCTATCTAAATGCACTTTTACAGGATTCTCTGAAAATGTCTTCTGTGTCTGGGTGATATTATCTCTAGCTATTGCTAGAGAAACATCAGTTCTGTCAGACAAAGACATATACTAGATTGTCACTTGTCTTAGCTCTGATATCTCTTGGGAGTATTTTGGATCATACTGACATTTATTTCAGAGGTTCACTATGATCATCTTTAACAGGGTCATATATAACTGAGTTACTCAATCATCTCTCTCCTTTTTCAATTGAATTCTCTTGTAAATCAGGTTATTTGGTTGGCTAAATGCTTTACCTCTTTTTCTGATACCTTGTCTGCATTGTCCTCTCTGTATCATACAGTGTTTGTACACAGTTCTGACAAAATGAAGCTGTTTTCAATTCTGCTATATTTCTCCCTAATTATACTTTCATACAAAACAAATTGGAAATGTACTGATAATGGATGGAAACTATCTTAATAAATCCCCTGTGCTGCAAGATATAGCATTGCTAGGCTCTTTTGTTATACAGTAAGTAGATTCAACCATTCAAAATAAATGTTAGACATTAAAGGGATGTTATTTAACACAGTGAATAATTAAAATATCCATTTCTCATACAGATGCTAGCACTGCTCATATATTTTGCCTTCTTCTGTATTGCCATATTCTCTTGCTTAATGGAGAATCTTCTGTGAAAAGTAGTAAACACACAAGTAACTGAAATGCAAAAATGTGCAACAATTCTTTGTACGTAAGGCCTGTCCAACATCCATTGAAGTCAAGGGAAAGATACATGTTGGTTTCAGTGAGCATTTGATCAATCCTTTGTATAGCATCTTCCATCCAAGGATTTCAATGTGCTTTTAAAAACTTCCAGCTTAGCCTCACAACACTCCTGTGAGGTATCATAGATAAGTGCTATGCCTCTTTTGCAGATGGGCAAACTGAGGGACAGAAAGTTTCTGGGGCCAATTTACCACCTCTTTATTTATTTTTCCCAGATAAGGGACTGAAAAGTCCATAAGGGCTGTCTGGCAGAATTTCTGTTGGTGGGGATGCATTCAGCTTTTGCCTCCTTGTGGAAGTGACAGCAAGTCTAACCCCTGAAACCATAGCTCTCCTAAGATCTATGTAGATCAGGACATTGTGCCACTATACAGCCATCTAGCGCCACCTCCTGAATGAGCCATACTCCTATCAAGTACCACAAACGACCAAACTGCATTAAGTTAGCCTAGAAATCCCTTCAGGGAAGGATGAGGTCATGGAAAGCAGCTTTCATTCACCATCCACTGAACCTGATCCTATGGCACAGCCAAGGACTGGGTGAGATGAGAGAAAGGGTGAGCATGCCACAGGACTAGCTCACCATCTCTATTCCCCTCACCCCTCAAGTCTCAGGGAAGAGCAGCATGTGGCCATATGTGACTTGCCCAAGACCCCACAGGAAATATTCAGCAAAGCCAAGGAATAAAGCAAGGTCTCAAGCTAAGAGTACAATCAAATATAGAGGTGTCTAAATGCCATCAGTTGCATCAGCACTTATAGGCACTTGCAAATTTGGAATCTGCTTCTAAAGCTTTCCTCCAAGTTAAATGTTCTGGAGTTAGTTTTTGTGGAACTATTCATGCAATAGAAACTGCTTATATTTCTGCATCAGAGCCACAGTATCATCCTTCTAGGTGCCTCCTCCTTCCACTTCAGTCTAGGGCCAGCCTAGTGGCTTGTAGCCAAGTCTAGGATTCTGGCAACCTAGGAGCTGACTTTCCAGAAAAATACAAGGAATCTGCATCCCACCTCTGTTCTAAGAGATTTCAATTATTACTTATAGATATCCCCCCAACAGACTGCTTTTCTGAATATATGCAGCAAGTCTGTCCCAGACTTGTATTTTTAGCTTAAATGCTTGTTTGCATTATTTGACTAAGCATAAATTGTGTTCTTGACTACATAACATTTAAAATAAATTCAGTCTTAGGAAGTTTTGAAGAGTTATTAAAGTGTTAAAATTATACTTTTCTCTCTTCTCCCTCTGATTTTATGAAACAGACTTATGCAAAGGGCAGTATTTCAAGATGTCAAATTTTAGTTTGAGTGAAAATGCAATGATTTGACAAGAAAGCAATATCTTTATTATTTGTGTTTTTATTATTATATTTTTTCCTTTTCTTATTTCCCGTCAAATTTTGAAAAGAACAAAAACATTATGCCACAGCAACTTCTAATTATGAGGCCCTACAATGCACTGTGTCACCAATTCTTAAGACAATACAATTCATTCAACTTTCCTCCTTAATTATACATTTCCTTTGTAAAGTGTACTATTAATAATTATCCATTTCATTCATTTGTATATGTCTAAAATAACCAAGGTGTTTTTCAGTGTTTAAAGTTAGGCACTACTAGTAATACAAATAGGTCCAATAAATTAAAATTGCTGAACGAAAGAGGCAACCGAAAAATTTTGAAATTTCAGTGAATATGTTTAAATGTCAGTTTTTTGACAAAAATGGATAAACTCACCTTTTTTGCTGAAGCACTCACTAGCTCTCACTGACTTCAAAGGGTGCTACTCAGCATTTCTGAAAACCAAGACACTTATTTAGGCTCCTAAATAGGGATTTAGATTCTCTAACTATAGGCAATCGGTAATAGTTAAAAGTTGTTCCATATTGGATTTTTTTTCCCCACTTCATGTGTTCTGCAAGAAATTGTGCCACAAAGGGTATTTTCCCCATCCAAAACTTTAAATTATGAGTATTCCCATTCACAATACTACTTAAACGAGTTACAATACCACTCAGATGAACAATATTAGGTACATGCTTTGAGCTGCTCAAGAATTTTTCAGTGACCCATTTTCCCCACCAAAATTTCTGATTAATCAAAACTAAAACTGTTGGCAGGAAAGGATCAGTTTCAATTAATTTCTTGACTTGAAAAAAAGAATTCAAAACAAGTTTCAAGATAGTGTCAAAATGCCCTATTTTAACACGTTGTAAGCAAAAAAGAGTTTCAAAATTTGAGCTAATTATATATTTTGTTTTAAATTGGCCAAATTTAAATGAAACATTTAATATCATTAAAATAAAGCATTTTGATTGACCCAAACAAAAAATAAAATCTGTATATTGATTTGCAAACTTTCTGAGATACTGAATTTTCATCCTGATTTGGGATGGATTTTTTTCTTTTGAAAGCTCAAATATTTTTCTCATATGGGAAAAACATTTCCCACCCAATTCTACATGTACATGAGTGTTTGCATGAACAGGTCCTTAGATTATAAACACCCCAGGAGTGGAAAGTCAATGGGACTTAGGTTCCTCAGTAACTTGATCACTTTATTTTATATTTTTAAGCTCTTATCTTTTTATATGCCAGTAAAGTGGCACTCTCAGCTTTGGCAGTATATAAATAAATAACAAACCAAATAGCTTTATCACTGTCTTACCTTGGTCATGTCAGCAAATACATGTGTGTTCATTTTATGGTCCTCTTGCAATCTTTCTCCTCATGCTTTATTTTCTCCCGTAACTTTTTAGTTGCCTCAGCCTGTTATAGCTAAAATAGACAGGATTTGAGAGCAATACTGTGTAGTATACAACATGTCAGGAATATTTATTCTAAATGGATTTTTTATGTGACTATATGAGATACAAAACATACACAATGTTGACCATGAAGAAAAAATGCAGCACCAGAATTATGAAGACATTGGAAATGTAAGATGTCAAAACCTTTGATTGATCAGGTATGTCCTTGAGATTCATAATATTTCTAAAGATATTTGAAGATTTTGAAAGTCATTACCTGGGTCTTGAAGGCATAACAGCGTCACCTGGAAAACAGCAATAAAAACATTGTATTTCTCATCTTTAATTACAGAACAGAATAAATGTTGATTAACTTGGGATATATGAATTTATAGCCCCTCGACAGCCAACCTCCTTTAATGTGATCAGTTTCAAGTATATCTGCCAAATCAAACTGTAAGAATCCTAGCCTGATTCTGCGTACATCACAACCACATCAGAGATGTTTACAGTTTAAATCACAAACCACAGGACCCGCCTATTCAAGGAATGGAAGGATCTGTGGTTATAAATTTGTTTTAGACGGAAGGCTGAAAATTGAGAAGCACAAGTAATTTATTCTATCCAGAATGGTTGAGAAATGAGCACCTTCACTGAGAGCAAAGTCAAGTTAGAAAGATAGCAGTACTGTTAATAATTAATTTCAGTCTATTGTGACTGGCATCCTGGCTACGATACCACAATATCCAGTCAGAAACTGTCATATCTCCCAATGTGCAGTAATCCAGTTGAGATGCATTGTGCCTTGCTGTGGTACTGCCCAACATTATAAAATTAAAGCAGGAAATACTGTCAGAAACACCCACCTCATTTAATGTAATTAAATCTAATTTGGAGAGTAAGTCTAAAGCACTGGCCCAAAGTTGGGAAATCTATATATTGCAATCCCCATGTTAGGGGTTCGTAAATCATGTTTGATAACAACCATTCTTTCCCCCTGAACTTCCATCCATTTTTTTTTATTTAACTCAGTTCAGAAGGAACCATTTCACATTTTCAAATTATGGGATACTGTGACTCAATCCTGCTGAAATAAGCATATAGTGAAAGCAGTTGAAATTTTCTATTTATATGGCTCAGTTTTCTTGATTTGGTACATCAAAGTTTGGGTAAGCTCTCTCTCTATGGAAGAAATACTATCTATCCAAGGTATTTTCAATAATTCTCAGCTCTTTTATAGTGTTTTTTCAGCAGTAGATCTCAAAGCAATTCACAAATATAATGTCAATATAATTAGCCCCATTTTTATAAGGCAGGAAATTGAGGCACAGAGAGGTTAAGTGACTGGTTCAAGGTTACCCATAGGCCAGTGGCAGAGCCACGAACAGAACCCAAGTACTCTGAGTCCCTCACAGAGGCCTATCCACTAGGCCCCGCTCTCTCATTTGCCCCTTCTCTTACTGTAGTAGCTCAATGCCTCAGAATCTTTCAAAAACGTATCCTTCAACATCCTGTCTAAGTAGGGAAGTGCTACCATCCCCATTCTACAGATGTGGAATTGAGGGACACAAACTAAGCTCAAGGTCACAGAGGAAGTCTCTGGCAGAGCAGGAAACTGAGCCTCAATTTCCCAAGTTCCAGACCATAACCACTGAATTATCTGGTCCCTTGGTGCAGGTGTCTTCCATGCTCATCTCATACGTTAATTCCTCAAAGTCTCTGCTAGTGTAACCCACACACCTTTGGGGTGTGGTGTTCTGTCAGGGAGGGGGGGGGGGGAGAGAGAGAGCACTCTACAGCCATAGCTAACAGGAAGTTGGCTTTCAGCTCATGCAGAAGAGGCTCATGCACTAAGGTCGCGAGGTCCCTGGTTTGATCCTGCCCACCGACGACTGGGGTCTGTTGGCATTACACTAGCCTCCTACTTAAACTTTTGCCTCTGAACAGAAAAGTGTCAGAGGCCATTTGTTCTGCAGATGTTTTTAAAATGAGGGCTTTTAAAAATGTATTTTTGATACCTGTTACAGCAATATACAAAGTTATCTAAAGTGAAGACTGGAGAAAGGCCATAATGAATTATTCACCAGTTTTCTCAGTGTGTAGGACCTGAGCCTGCACCACTGAATTCAGTGCCAGCTTTGCCATTGCCTTCACTGGGTGCAGGATCAAACTTTTAATGGATAATGTTTTGAAATGGTCTGAGGCCTGGTCTCTTTGTTAGTTGCCTTAATTTGCACCTGCAAAATTTGCTCCACAACATAAATTTAAGGTTTCAGCCACAAAATTTAGAACAAGAGCTCTTATACCTCAGAGTGTGGAAGTTTGGATTCAGGGATTTGTCTTAGAGCAATATAGTGATGGAGGGCTGTGCAATTTGATTTCCAGATCTCCCTCCCTATGTCTAAATTTCATGATAGTTAGAATATAGGGTTTTAGTTCAGGCTCAATTCTAACAGAAATTGGCTGCATGTCACCTTGTCGTCATTTTCCCTGGGGCAATGTTGATTTTACCAATCACTAGTCAGTCTATGGGCTCTTGAAATTCCTGAGTGTTCTGTATGGATCTTGGTGTTTGCAGATAGATCAAAGACTGTCTACTTGGTCCCCCTTCCTCTTTCAATGTACTTCTGTAAAGGGTGGATATTTGGTTTCAATGTGCTTACAAGGTTTCCAATGGCTAATTTCAGTAGCCAGAAATAGTATTCCTTGAAGAGATTTCTGCTTTACAGAGCATACACTCAGCTTTCACCAGGTTCCTATCGCTCTCTGAGCGGCTCCTAGACAAGGCTTTTCTCTTTCTCTACAGTGCTTCAAAATGGAGGCCTTGCACTTCAAAATCAGCCAGTCTTGCTCTTTTAAGGTTGACTGACCAATCAACACACAGAAATCAACAAGATTAGGTGATGGGTGAATCTCAGATCCATAACTCTCTTATCCTAGTAATTCCACATGCAATTAAATAGAGTCCTGTGCAGATCAATCAGTATTTGTCACATTTCTAGCTTTGATCCATTGTATGATTATTTTAGGAGTTTTAGTTCAAACTTCACAAACTGTTAGTGTCAATGATTTGCATATTTATTTCTCTGCAATATTAGGGTACGATAAGGAATGTCTAAATAGTTTATTTAACAGCAAGGTACTTAAATACATTATTTCTTTTGAAATTATTATACTGTTCTGGCACTGTGGGTAGATGGCAAAGTACAGTCAGTCCCATTTCATACAATGGTATTACGGTTAAAAATGTTCATGATATAAGGAGCCGATTATTTAGGATTGTTCTCAGAGTTTGTAGATGAGATGATTGTAATTGTCTTCACTTTTGTTTGCACACTTTAATAAACAAGTTCCCCTGTCACATTTAATATATTTTATTATAGGCCCTGGAATTTATATTGCAAATGCAAAAAAGTTGCTGTACACAGCGTGGGGAATTAATAAATATGCTATGCTATTCAGATGGCTGCAAGTTGCTATTGTAACATACTGTGGTTTAGATTCATTTTTAGTATCTATTTTTAAATATAGGAAATTAAGCTGGTTAACTGTGCCCCACCCCCCACCCCACCCCCAGAGTCAAGCAAGCACATACAACATACTTGTGTACATTGTACTCTGGTTATGAACACAAATGTTAATTACCCTAAACCAAACATTACACTCTTTAGGCAGACTTTTAGGACTTGATCCTGCAAGCTGCTGAGCACCTTTAACTTCAAATGAAGTCAGTGGGGATTAAGGCTTCTTAGACCCACACAGGTGCATGCAGCACCTTGAAGGGTTGACGCCGTACTTAATAAAGAAGGACCTATCAAGTAGTCTGTCTGTATACAAGCAATATTCCTGCTGATCTTAGCAGGCATGCCACCTGCATATATAGTTCAGGAGGAGTAAGGCCAGTGGAAATTGGTCCTCCACGTGGACAAATTGGGGAAAGTCCAGAGAAGAGCCACAAAAATGGCTAAAGGTTTAGAAAGCATGACATATGAGGAAAGATTAAAAACATTTGGTTTCTTTAGACTGGAGAAGAGAAGACTGAGAGGGAACATAACAGTTTTCAAGTACATGAAAAGTTGTTACATGGAGGAGGGAGAAAAATTATTCACCTTAACCTCTGAGGATAGGATGAGAAGCAATGGGCTTAAATTGCAGCAAGGAAGGTGTAGATTGGACATTAGGAAAAACATCCTGTCAGGGTAGTTAAGCACTAGAATAAATTGGCTAGGAGGTTGTGCAATCTCCATCACTGGAGATTTTTAAGAGCAGGACAGACAAATACCTGTCAGGGATGGTCTTTCGTCCTGGTATGAGTGCAGGAGACTGGACTCGATGACATTTCAAGGTCCCTTCCAGTCCTACGATTCTATGAAATAAGTGGCACCTATTTTTAGTTAATTTGCCTGTATGTTGTAATAAGTCTGAAATCAATCATCTGTTTCTCAGTAGGCCCAGTAAGATAAAGAATTACTCACCCATTTATATGTTACTCTAAAGCATTATTCCCATCTTCTCTGTAAGTAAGTGGAAGACATATTGGGTGTTTGATTTAACTGTGTAGCAAGCATGCTGGTGTTGGAACTTTGGGGTTATAATTTTTTGGGGGGTGGGGGGTGGATATTCGTTCTTCAAAAACTTGCTTTGATGTTGGGTTATTATTCCTGCCAACCATTGCTTAACTGAAAGTGTTTTATTTAACAAAATAGTAGCCTTATTGAAAGAATGCATTTAAAAACAGTTCTGGGGTTACTGCAATGTCAGAATTATTTGAAATTTTTGAAATGTGTTTTCTAAGATCTTGCTCTGATCGTCTTTAAATTACTTTTCTTTTCCCACATCAAGAACACTTATCTCTTTACTTTTAGAGCATTTGTGCACAGAGGGCTCTCACAAAATTTCCTTGATAGTAGCCATATGGAAGCTATAAAGTCCCCAGAAAAACATCTCTTTCCTATATTTAAAGGGAATGTGATATTCTTATTCTAATATAAAGATTTATATCATTATTGGACACTAACCACACTCCTTTAAAATGAGAATAAGATAATGGTTTATGATACTGTTGCTCGAAATGGTCTGCACTTCTGAAGTTTAGCTTGAATGAAAATATATCGAGCTTTGACAGAGTCTGCAGCAGTGTTTTGTAATCTGTATAATGTTGTCACATTTACAAGCAACTACCATGGGAAAATATTGTTCTTTTTATGACTACTCTCTCTATTTCAAATGTTTCCCCTGACGAAAGAATCTCACATACACCACTTCCTAATTCTGTGCTGTATCTTCTGCAAGAACCATATTCCTAAGTGGAATACAAGTCCAAGCTTATTTCACTTCTCTAAAACTCCTAAATGTGTTTTGCTTGTTACATTCCATTTGTTACTCTATTTTTTCTGTCCTCCCATTTCTGGCACACTCATATCCTGTCCTGTAATATGGGACAAATCCTGGCCAATACACCACCCTCTTTGCACAGCCAGTATAAGAACAGCCTTCAAGATGCCCCACTTCTGGTGGATAGTGGATCTGTGGCCATCAAACATGGCTTAAAGACACCTATGCCACCAACTCTGGAGTTGTGTCAAATATAGCTCAGCTGCAT